TCCTTCCTTCCTTCCTTCCTTCCTTCCTTCCTTCCTTCCTTCCTTTCTTTCTTTCTTTCTTTTCTTTCTTTCTTTTTTTTAGAATTTATTCATTTATTTGACAGAGAGAGACAGAGAGAACACGAGCGGGGGGAGGGGCAGAGGACAAAGCAGTCTCCCTGCTAAGCAGGGAGCCCGATGTGGGGCTCGATCCCAGGACCCCAAGATGACGACCAGAGTCGAAGGCAGACGCCCAACCAACTGAGCCACCCAGGCGCCCTGAAAATGTCTCTTTCTGACCTCTTTACATTTGTGGTGTTTCACTTACTAATCAACTCCTTCATTCATTTATTCTTTCACTTATTTATTTATTCAACAAGTATTTATTGATCTATATGTCAGGCACTGTTCTGCATGCTGGAGATAGAGAAGTGAGTAAAGCAAGCACCCTGCCTTCATGGAGCTTACATTTCCTTTAAGAGGCAGGCAATAAAAGTAAACAGTCTTTCATTAGCTTTCATTTGACTTATCATAAGAACCTCCTAACTAGTCTTGGCTGGTTTCTATCCTGTCTAATCCATCCTCCACACAGCTGCCTTCATAAAGGGAGCTAAAACTCAGTTAAAATAAATACCTCCTCTCCTGAAAAAACATGAAATGGTTTTCTACAGTGCTCATAATTTTTTCCATCCAGATTTCTTGGGATGGCTGATTAGTGTCTTCATAACTGACCCTAGCCTACCTATTGATTTTTACCTTCCTTCACTTTTTCTCATTATCCCAAAATTCATCTTTTAAGGCTTATTGTGACTGATGCTCTTCTAGAAAATGCCCCTAATCCCCCAAGTCAAAATTAGATACTCCCATGCTACCTTAACAGTAGTTTCTTTTAATTTCACTTTCCTTTTTATATCACATTTATTGGATCTGCTCTATTTTTAAGCTCCTAGAGGGTAAAGGCTATATCTTATTTATGTCTATAAGCTTTTTAAAAAGATTCTTTAATTGAAATATATTTGATATATAACTGTGTAAATTTAAAGTGTACAACATGTTGATTTGATACATATATTGTCATATGATTGCCATTACTGTGATAATTAACACATCTATCCTGTCACATAATTATAATTTATTTTTAATGGTTGGAATAATTAATATCTAGTTTCTTGGCAGGTTAGATGAAAATAATACACTATTATTATCTATATTTACTATGCTGTGCATTAGATCTCTAGGATTTATTTACTACTCTTTGCAAGTTTGTCCCCTTAAACATCTGACCTGGTCCCCCAGTCTCCGGGCCCTGGTAACCACCATTTTACTCTATATTTTTACGAGTTTGGCTTTTTTTGATTCCATGTATAAGGGTATCATATAGTACTTGTCTTTCTCTGTTTGACTTATTTCACTTAGCATGATGTCCTCAAATTCCATCCATGTTGTTGCAGATGGCAAGATGGCCTTCTTTCTCATGGCTTTATAATATTCCATTGCCTA